TTCCTTCCTTCCTTCCTTCCTTCCTTCCTTCCTTCCTTCCTTCCTTTCTTTACCAGTTTTCTCTGTGCAGCTTTGGCTGTTTTGGACTTGCTTTGAAGACCAGGCTGGCATCAGGCTCACAGAGATTGGCTTGCTTTTGCTTCCTCAAGTGCTGGGATCACAGGCGTGCGCCACCATGCCTTTTTTAATTTTCTTAATTTCATTTTATGTGTCTGAGTGTTTTGCCTGCATGTATGTCTGTGTGTGCTCTTGTGTGCTTGGTGCCCTACGGCCAGAAGAGAGCAGCAGATGCGTGGGACTGGGGTGACTGACAGCTGTAAGCGGCCTCTGGAAGAGCACTCAGTGCCTTCAGCTGCCGAGCCATTGCTCCAGTTTTCCATTGTTAGTTAACAAACTAGAACTAAGCATCTGTCTAAGATGTGTATTTTTTAATTGATTTAAATTCTGTTGTTTGGTGCTTCTGAGACAAGGTCTCCATATGTAGTCTGGCTGGACTTGAACTCAGTGTGATCCCTCTTTTCTGAGCCATCCAGGTGCTAGTATTAAAGGTTGAGCTACCATGCCTTGTTTACCTTGATTTTAAAATTGGAGGGGGGAGAGAACCCTTGTGTATTTATTTCCATGTAAATACATATGGTGACACCTCATCTTTTTAACAGTTTCGAGTTATGCCATTATAAGGTACTCTTATCTGCAGTGATTTACAGTTTTCTAATTCTAAGCCTAGAAAGCATTTAATGAGCTTCCCTGTCATGTATCTTTGCACATATGCATGTTCACATGCTTCCTCTAAGAGGCTTACATGCTTTTTATTTAAATAATAAAAAAAATATTTCGTGTATGTGTGGGGAGGCACATGGGAAGGTCAGAGGGCAGCTTGTGGGACTCTGTTCTTTCCTGTGTTCTCTCCTTCCATGTGGGTTGTATTGAAACTCCGGTCATTAAGCTTGGCAGCAGCCACCTTTTACCCACTGAATCTGTCTTCCCTACCAAAAGAGGTTTTTTGTAATTTTTGTAGTTAGTATTTAGTATTTTTTGTTTTTGGAGACAGGGTTTCTCTGTGTAGCCCTGGCTATCCTAGAACTTCCTCTGTGGAACAGATTGG